GCCGTGGAAAGGGCTTCCCCAGCCCCCTGCCTTGAGGAAACGCCTCCCTGAAGCAGAACGTGCCTCAAAGCGAGTGCGTTTCACCAAGGAGCTTCCTCCATCTCCGTAGGGCAGCAGCTGGCCGTGCTGCGGGAATGGAAGGCAAGGGAATGAGGGAAAGTGCTGGGATTTGTCACAGGCCGGTTGCACAAGGCTCACCTCCCCATATTTAATCCTTCTAACCAGGCGGAGTTGGTGGTTGGGACATTTCCCTGCCCCTCAGGGCAAGGCTGGGCCAACATCTTCCTAGGACTGGTGAAGCAGTCGCTGCTCGTGGGCGTTACCAGCTGGGACTAGTGGGATTACTAGGCAAAAATAGTATTAGATTTATACCTGCAAGCTGATTACTGCTTTGAAGACTAAGTGTATCGTATATTAATATATATACACACAAAAAAGAGCAAAATTACTAAATAATATTGCCAAGGAGCTAATGAACGCAAGCCTGTAGACCCTGTCTGCTTTCTGCTGTAGCTGAGCATGCTCGTGCACCACCCCCCAGTCCTGCTTCTAACCTGCTAAAAAGTTTTAGACACACATTGCATAGAATAGAATGAAGTATGTGGGATACAGAAATCTCACCTCTTCGGCAGCTTTTGTTCGTGACCTCCGAGGCAGGGTGAAAATTCAAAGCTACCTAAATTATCCAGAAATGTGGAAGGAAATAAATGGCTGTGAGTAGCAAGCTGTGAGAGGGCTTCCTGGGAAGGGGGCAGAAAAGGAGAGCTGCTTTCATCACGCTGTGGCCAAGCAAAGCCTCTCCTTACCAAACATCCCCAACTCCTCACATTACAGGAGAGGAGAAACTTTTCCAAAGACTACAAGGATCTTAATAATTTCTGCCTTTGATGTCATCTATTAAACTTGTGGCTATTTACATTTATGACAGAAAGTGTATAGTGACAAGATTATACCCATTTTCAAAGCGCATTTGGCGCAAGATTTAGGGAGTCCCAGCTGGGCAATGTCACATCAGGGTGACATTGTTTCTTGGAGGTATTTCTCTTGCAGAATGCCAGGACAAGGAGGGGCAGTTTAAAGGAAAGGCTCATGTTAGATAAGGGAGCTCCAGGGAAGAAAGGTGCTTAGCACTGTTAGGGACAGCTGGGATAGGGCATGGGGAGGCAGGAGCAGAGCCAGGTTTGTCTGATCCTGCCGCAATGTGGCGGCCAGGCCTGGGAGGCTGGAGCGAGTCTTGTGACAGGCCTGTTCTCTGAGACATTCAAGAGAGAAGATTTTCCATTTCCTCCAAGTGCGTTCTTACTGATACAAACCCATTACATTCCAGCTCCGCCTTCGGTCTGCAAAATGGATGAGTGACAAAAGGTGTCAGAAACCCAACGTCCAAGTTTATACCAAGTGAGGCTGAAACAGAGCATCTCATCCACCCCATGTGCTGTAACAGAAGCCTGAGGCTTCAGACCGAGCTGCTTTTCCTCTGCTTCACCGAAGAGGTTGCTGCAAAACCCTGACTGGATACCAACGGAAAGGAAGAGCATTCTAGTGAATTAAAAAAAAAAAGTAAGTAAGTAAATACAACCAGATATTCCCAAGCTAACGCAGGGCTGGATTTCAGCACTCGGGTGGTTATACCAGGCCTGGGCGGGAAGCTGGCGCTCCCCAGGACAGGTGGGTTGGTTGACACCTTGTGCCGTGGGTTGCCGCCACCTTCCCCGCTCCGCAGGGATCCCTACCCCGTGCGGGGGGAGCCCGCGTGGCAGCCCCTTCCCTGGCTGCGGATCTCGCCCTCATCTGCCCATCAGCTCGGCAGGCTGGGCAGCAAGAGAAGCACTAAAAGCCATCAAAGACCACAGCTGCAGAAGGAGGCTTTGGATGCTGCATCTTTATTACAGAGTTTGTAGTGACCATTATAGCTACGGGGGCACCGACTTAGACTAGGAAGTGCGAGACTACGCGGGTCTCTATGCGGAGAAATGTAACAGCACTCAACACTAACTGCCCCTAGTAGCACTCATTTCTCTCCTCCATATCAAATCACAACAAAAGAAGACAGACTTACAGCTTTAAAAAATTTGGTCAGAACTTCCATTTTGAGTAGTGAAATGAACACTGTTATTTGCATTGTAAATAAATAAAATTACTTAATGTGTTTCACAGGCTTCACTTTTTTTGTATAAAATCCCAAGTGCCTATGCTTTTAAATGGCTATTAAAATTCAAAAAGTGATTTTTAAAGCTTTAAGCATATGCACTTTGTTTCATTTTTAAATAAAGGCATTTTTTATAAATAGCTAGTCATAGAAAATAATAAAATAGACACACTAGTAATACATAAATTCATTTGTAACTGCATACTTCCAAGTTTTTAAAGACACTTTAAATTCCTGATTGCAAGTTGCCTCCAACAGGAATAAAATATTTACATATTAGAACATGCACATTTGGGGAAACATTTGCCTCACATTTCACTTGCACTCTACATTCAGAATGAAAAGTGTTTTGGTTCTTTTGACTTAAAGCACCTTATAAAATATTTTCATCTCAGAGTAACATTCGGTAAGTCAGTGTTATGCTCTCACCGAGGGCAGGGGATGACAGGCAGTTTTCAGAGCTCTGCACTCGGGCTGTTCTCTTGCTCTGTTCCCAAGTTTGCTCCTGTGCCCAGGCCTGGGAGCTCTCCTGTTATCCCTACATTCCCTCTCAGCCACATTGTTCCCTACCACCATCTCTGCACCCAACCAGGGTGCCCAGCGCTGCTTCAAAAGCGGCTCTTATTCTGCTATACCTGGATCAAATGTTGAGTTTCATATTCACACAGAGAAAACCTTTGAAAGAGGCTTTTATATTGGCAAAGCGTTGGAGATAGAACCATCATTCCTACTGTAAGCATCCAACCTACACACAATTAAGGCTTCTAAGTACCATAAAAATAATATACGAAAAGAATTTAACAAGTTCTTCTCACTGCCGCAGGCACCAAGCAGGAATTTAAGACCAGGACATCATTTGCCCGCCACGTTCCCCATAACCAGCACCTGCAACAGGGCCACCTTCCTCCATAAGCAGTTAGTATCTGCTCTGCATCTTCATGATATAATTAAGACAAGAAGTTGTCAGAAGAATCCAGATGGAAACACAGAGTATTTCCTGCTGCACCCGGCCAAGAACAGCACAGAGCATGTGGGGATGAAGAGGAAAGCTAGAGCCTTCTGGAAAGAGCTTGCACGGCCTCAGAGCAGTCGCTGCACTATATTCTAGCAGGTAGGTAGGTATCTGCTTTGTAAGAAACAGCTTTTTGCTGAACGTTGACAGCAACACCTTAAGAAATGGCTTGTGTATCTCAGCTTTTCTTATCACCACAAGAGATACATGTAGCAATAATCAGAAGATTTTAAAATGTATATTCGCTTAACACTATTACCAGAAACACATTTCCTAAACTAGTGGCAGCAACATTTACAACTTGTCACCCTCCTCACTGCACTATGACAAGTGCACTGGATTACTAACACCATGTGTCATAGCACAACTCCACTACTTTCAGATACTGCATCCTCCCAAGGAGCTCTCTAACAAAATACAAGAGCTATCTACTTGTAAGTTTTTACATATGTGATCTATGCATTGACATCACTCTCCAAGGTAAAACACAGAACATTACAGAGATCTCTTAATTACATTCAGATTTGGATATTTCTTCTCTAAAATAGGAAACAAATAAGAACTACCTGTTCATACCATAGATGCTATTTCATTATGCAGTTTTTCAACATTACTAAACCTACTAACTGCTATAGGTAACTCTCTCAGCAAAGGACATACAGAACTAGGTTTTCAAAATAGCTACAGGGTGGATGAACCACCTTTATTTCTCATGGAGAACATTTAACATTCATGATTTAATGATAAAAACCTGGGTTTTGAGAAGTCAGTTCTACAACACAAAAGCCTAGACCTGAGCATCCCAAGCTAAGGAGGTTTAGATTTATGGAGTGGATTACGGAGCATTCCTGGTACAGAGGCACAGCACATCTTTACAGGCAACTCATCTCTTGGATACAACACAGACATAGTGGATCCTTTGATGTTGTCAGGTATCTGCAAATACCCAACTGCAGAGGTTTTACAGGTAGCTTGTGTGACCCTGATCCAAACTATTTTGATTCCTTTAAGGAATGCTTTTAGAAACTGGTAGCCAGTGCTAACTACTTTAAGCATTTTTAGTTTTCAAAAAGCCCAACATTTCAGCTAATAGCATATCATATTCTTAGCATACTCAGATGCGGCAGGAATTTTCAGCTTAGGAGAGGTTAGGAAAGAAGAGACCTCCCTGCCCATTCCACCTTCAGCAGCAGGAGTGTACAAGGATGCATGGAGCTAAATGGGAATATGGCGTTACGAGGCAAATCCAGACCAACTCAGCCATTTCTGCCTAGCAGGAATCCCGATGAGAGCTTTTGAAGTGAGGAGTGTGGAAGGCTGGAACCAGATGATTACAGAATGAGAGAGGAGCCATTTCTGGTAAAAGGGTCTGAAAATAACAGTGATCCTGGAAGTTTTCAAGTAAGGCACATCTACCTGCAGACACAGAACTTTCAGTATTTTACGAATACAGCAATATATAAATTTTAAACCTGACTGTGCAAAGAATCCCAATACAAGCCTGGGAAATGAGTTTCTGGTTCCTTAGTTTCCTTAATTGCATTTTGGTATTTTGCCAAAAAATGCAGTACTACAAGCTCCATGGAGTGGTAACACAGCTTTGCTTGCAAGCATTAGCAGCCATTGCCCCTTTTTCTTTAAGCCTAGTTTAAAAAAAATACTGGAAGGTCACTGCAAATAAACTCATCTTTGACATTAAAAATGAAACATCTGTACAGATGAGAGATTAAACCCCAGAAAGGCAGAAAAAAATCTGTAAATCCAGACCTCCAAAAATGATCAGTGCCCGTGCAGACTTCCAGACAGCTGTTCATTTTTTCCCCCCTGTTTCTTTCCCTTTCCTTTTTTTCCCCCTCCCAAGTCTCTCACAACGCTGTGTCATCATCTTCTCCAAAATCTCCCACCAGAAGTGAGTGTTTGTCTGGTTCATTAAGAACGATGCTGTTCACTGAACGCTTGTCTGAGAAGAGAGAATTTATAGAGGCTCTGCTGTAGTTGATGATTCGATCCATTAAGCTCAGTTTAGGAGAGCCTGATCCAGTTTCATCTATTCCAATGTGGACACTAATTTGTGATGGACTCTTGTGTCTTATTTGCCCACGGGCCTGGAACTCAAGTTTCTCAGAACTTGGCTTCTTGTACCTAGGGAAGGAAAAATAAGAACACAATACAGCTCAGGAAGAGTTCCTGAAACATGGGAAGAAACTGTCTTCCAAGCACTATAATTGTGCACAATCAGCAGAGTTATAAATGACCCATGATGGAGTGTTGAAAGTTGCATCTTGCTCAAGACTACTGTATAATCAGAAGCTAATTCCGTGCTTTTTGGCCAGGACACAGAACAAGCAAAGCGAAGCAGACAGGTATCCTTCAGGCTTTAACTGCTCCAGCAGTTGCTGCACGTCTCCAGAGCACCTTGGCCAGACACAGCTGCAGAGCAGCCGGCGCGTTGCCAGTTCCACCCAGCGTCCTGCAAAACCTGCAGCGCGTCAGTTCGGCAGCGAAACACCTCGCCCGGCCCCGCACTACCCTGCTCCCCACGGCGGGCTGGGGATCAGCGGCAGGACAAATGCAGCAGCTTCCTTGTTGCAATAATCCTAAGTGCCAGACGGGGGGTGTTTGCCGCTGCCTTGCCTCAGAGGTCAGCAATGCTCTGGACAGACTTCACAGAAATACACCCCAGGCATTAAGGACTTCAGCATTCCGAACACCTTCCCATTTTGTGTATTTCTCTTCATGTTAGAAATTACACTTTTAAAATAGCACTGTCCAAATTGTCTTAGACCATCTCACTACTCCCTCTCATGCAAAACCAAAACCAAAAGCAAGTATCATCCCGTCTTAAAACAAGGACTCACCCAAGCGGCTTTTCCAAAAGCTGCAAAATCTGGTACAGCCCTACCCTCCTTTTCTGCTATTTAAAGGCAGAGATCTGAGCTTCAAAAGCAAACAGCAGCCATACAGAACTGCTCATACTCACGTCTTCAACAGCAGAGAAGAGAGCACAACAGAAACAGAGGAGGCAGCCATCGCTGCAGATCCCATCCAGGGCTGCAAAACCAAACCGATGGGCAGAAAGACCCCTTGAAAGAGAGAAGGGCCCTGGGTTCAGAGCAGGAACACGGCACGCCTCCCAGACAAACCCGGGGGCTTGTGGAGAAACACATGCTATCTAACATTTAGACAATTCATGTGATCTCATTAATATACTTTTAATTTACTATTAAATAAAAAATAATTAATACATAAACCTTTATCTATCTCAGCTAAAACGTGCAGGGGAATACAATATGTAATTTATTATACAGTTCTGAGATAGATGTGCCTTGCAAGAAACCATTTATTCACAGCATCTAGGCTATGCGTTTTCTGGCTCATTCAGTAAACAAGCTATCCCCAAGTTATGAGGACATGATAAACACATCCCTAATAACTGCACTGTGCGGAGAAGACAGCTCACAGCTACACCATGGCACTCTGCATGCACTGTCCAACAGAAATACAGAAAATACATATTATTCCATACAATAGTAAACCACTGCAATCTTTTACTCAAGGCATAATCTTGTTATCATGGAGAAATATTCACATACCCGCAGCTATGGGAATTCCAATAAGGTTATAAATTAGAGCAAAGACAAAGTTGATGCGGATCCTTTTGACAGTCTTCCTGGATAAATCTATACTTGCCACAACATCCATCAAATCGTCCTGCAAGTTGGTACATTTATGGGAGAAATCAAACAGAAATAAAGGCATCCATGCATGCAGTGTCATCCTATTCCTGTTTTAAAGCCAACTGCCATACATTGGACTTAACGTAGGAAGTATACTGTAGGCTGCTCTACTTTGCCTGTAATACAGCCCCAAAACAAGCTTCAACTTTACATTACAGATTGCACATGTCACCATAATACCCTAAGAAAATACACAGCTCCACCTGGTACAGCTCTAGAAAATTTACTACGACTTTTTTGTTGGGGTATTCTTGCAATGTATAACTGAGGAAGCAATCCAATATACTGCTGTAAAATAACTTGCATTTGCCAAAGGTCAGGTTGCTTATTCCCCCTCTTCTGCCCATTCTCAAAAATTTATTTCCAAACTATCTGAACAATATAGTTGGAACTATATTCCAAACAGTCAGAAAGAGGTGGGCAAGGTTGTCTTCATAAAGCAGTGTTTGTCTTCATATTTAGCAGTAGTAACTATGTCTTCCCTGCTCCAGTTTTCCTGGTCCATGGAGGCAGTGGCCATCACTCCAGCACTGACCTGAATCACTAAGGACACCCTTAGCTGCCTACTGCCCTGCCATTTCCCTTTGACCAAGCATCCTTATTTCTTACCTTAATTAGAACCACATCAGCTGCCTCAATGGCTACATCAGTGCCTTTACCAATAGCAATTCCCACGTTGGCCATAGCAAGAGCTGGGGAGTCATTGATGCCATCTCCAACCATGGCCACTCGTTTTCCTTCATCTTGCAGTTGCTTCACTTTGGCTACTTTGTGGGATGGAAGAACCTCTGCAAACACTTTGGTGATGCCAACCTAGGGATAGAGAAAGCACAAAACAAGCTATCAAAGCTTCTGCGTCTTAATTTGCTTAGAGCAAACACCTTCAAGTGTTATTGGATAATAATATGACTCAAAGTTGAAACCCATGATGTCACTCATGAACCAAAGACTAAACTCGATGGAAAACAAAATAGCTCTCGATTCAAAGTTGATGCTGCTTCCAAACAAAAAGGCTTAGGCTCTTATTCCAAGTTCGTTGCCATTAGCATGCCAGCTCGGCATCAGCCACAAGGCACTTCAACAGGACAGTGTCCGTCTTCTTGAAAATTGACTGCAGCAACATCCAGACCCAAAAACATTCAAAACAGCTTACCTGAGAGGCAATAGATCTTGCTGTTTTGCTGTTATCACCAGTCATTAGGACAACTTCTAATCCCATGTTCTTCAAAGTGTACACAGCCAGCTCAGCTTCTGGTTTCACGGTATCCGCAATAGCTACCAGGCCACAAAGCACTCCTAAAGGAACAAAACACGTGCAAGACCTTTTATCATTCTAAGGGGAAAAACAAACTTTATTTTCAGCAAGACCAATTCCAGAAACAATAACATGGACACAATTTTGTGGGGCAATGAAATACAGAATGGGTACTGTCATCAGGGCATGTTTAGTTCAAGGCAACACCAAGAGTGGATTATCTAACAATAAATCCTCATTTTCCTTTCTTTTTACACTTCTTGAAGTCTTTGCATTAAGTCCAACCCTCCTAACAACTGAGCAAAGCAGGAAGAAGCCTTCCTCATTTGGGAGCGTTACAAAACTTCAACTAATGGTCTCTGTTATTCCACCTCAGGTTTAACTACTAAGGCATCAAATGCCTCATAGCTTTCTGTTTAAAATGGCGCAAATTGGCCTCTGATTGGCCTCTGATTGGGAGGACAGCAAAGAACTCACCATCAATAGCTGCCAGGACTGCTGTGCGACCTCTCCGCTCATGCTCGATCATGGCTTTATCTATTTCGCTTTTAACAAGAAGGCCATTTCTGGTCATCCATTCCCGGTTCCCAATGAGAACAGAGTATTTCTGAGCTGTTGAAGTAGCTGCAAGAAAATACAATTCTACCATCATACGGATAACCAGGAAGCTTCCTCCAGCTAATCCTAGTCTGGTTCTCCCAGGGGAATACCCCTATACAAAATCTAAACAATAAAGGTTCACTATCTTTCTGTCCCACCTCTTCAGGCAACAGAAAAGTCATTGATAATTCTTCAATAATAGAGGGTTTCCACTTCAATTAGCCAAGAACCACTAAAATAGGGAAAGCACAGGACAAAGCCCCTTTCGCAGTGGCTCAGAAATACCTTTTAAAGGAGTTAAGAGAGCTAATAAAGAGCTGCTCTTTGACTGAAAACCAGTCAGTTCTGCAAACACACATGGTCATTTTTGTTCCATAAATGGTAACTTGGGCCAAAGCAAATGTAAAGAGAGCAGTGAGAGATGATACCTAGGTGATTTTTATAGCTTGATATTTAATGTGTATGTGCACCAATGGAATGCTTTTGTCCTTACATCCCAAGCAATGTAAGAGCATGAAATAAACTAAAGAGCAACTGTATTTTATGGGGGCCTTGATGTAAGCTCTGTTTCCCAGGAAGGAAAATATCAACCTCATTGTTAAGGGTCCTGAATAAGACACACAAATCAACATTTGTGTTGCTATCCACGTTGTTCTATAAGCCCGGGTTGGCTTACTTGTTAGGTCAGCATCAATGATCAAAGCAGGCTGTGTTGATTCTTTGGGGCTTTCCTCAATTTTCACAAGTATCACATTTTTAATATTATTTTCTTCTATCATTTTTTTCTTCCGGTAGAGTAATGGTTCAATATTGGTGACTTTACAGCTAATGCCACAGCCTGGAACTACCTGGAAATCTGTACATGTCCCAAGAGTTTCTGAGTCCAATTCCTGAAGACAAAGGAAGCCAATTCAGATAATTTTTAAACGTATACAGGCATGCTGCATTTACAAAACACACTCAATAAATGGTTGTCAAAACAAGCCTCTAAAAGTAACAGAAGAAATATCCACTCATCAAAACATAAGTTTAAGCAACCAATGCAGCTAATACGATATCAAATAATCTATATAGTTTCCTACTTTTCAGCTTTCCGAGTAAGTATTTCAATTGCTTTCTAAGTGATCCAGGATTATTCACAAATAATACAAAAGCACAGAAGGAGAGGGTTCTTCCTTAATACAAATTCTTTTTTCTGGTTAAGAAGTACTTTACCTTTTTGCAGTATTTTGTTATTGCCACGCCAAGAGGGTGTTCGCTGCTACTTTCGGCAGTCCCCAAAACTGCCAGCATTTTATTACGTGGTATTCGGTTACTCTCCACCAGGAACTTCACCTGCATGACTTCTGGCGTCCCGTGAGTAATCGTCCCCGTTTTGTCAAATACAACCACCTTGACCTGCAGCACAACAGGAGGACTTCAGTCAGTGACCACAGTTTTAACACATAGTTTTGAAGAAAGCTCCACTTTTAACCAAACTTTCTACCATTCCGCTTGCAAACAGCCAGCGACCTTCTGAGGCAGGAGCTAGCAAGCTGCCCCTGGCAGCAGCCTGCAGAGGTCTTGTGCAGAACCCCCCATGTCTCTCACCTTGTGGGCCATCTCCAGCGGCTCCCCGCCTTTGATGAGGATGCCGTTCTGAGCTCCTACTCCAGTGCCCACCATCACCGCCGTGGGGGTGGCCAGCCCCAGCGAGCAGGGACACGCGATGCACAGCACGGTGATGGAGGCCTGGAACGCGAAGCGGATCACCACCTCCGCCGCGGAAATACTCTGGTTGTAGCCCTGGCGGCAGAAACCCCTGCTAGTTAGAGATACCCAGCAACGACAGCAGCCCTGTGACCACGGCTGTATTTCATGTGAAGACTCTCAAACACTCAAGGTAAGTCTTAACATATTGAAAAATAAAGCAAAAGAAAGTTATGCCAAAAACTAATCTCCATGATGAAATAACCAATTCTAGAAATTCTGAACAGCCTATACTCACAGTTTATTTTACTTATAGCATCTTTTCTTAAAGACAACAAGCTATAATTCTTTTAAGTTGTAGCGTAATAAAAGATACTCTAACAACAATATATGCAATAAAAATGACAGGCAATACAAAAACCTTAAAAATAACAGATTGTAGCCAGTAGAGCAGCCCACTAAGAAACCTACAATTTAAACAACCCCAGGACACAAGTCAAGATCTGCCTCTGCTCTTGAGATCTGAAAAGAAGGGGAATTCCATTAATTTTAAAGGTGAATTTAAACAGGGCTCTGTACTCCACTAACAAAACTAGATGCAAAACTGAGGCTTGTAGCACAAGGGACTGCTTTACCCCAAGAGGAAGCAATGAGAATTGGGAAGTTTCAAGGTTGACAATCTAAACTGCATTTCAACTAATTTCAGGAGCTATGATTAATTACTGCAGATTTCTTTACATAAAAAGGTCAAAAGAGCACTATAGCATAAATATAGATAAATACATATATATGATATGCATATATATTCATCAACTGCCTGCAAGAACAATCCAGAAATAGAACTGTTGCAGTCTATTAGACTCCTAGGCTAATTACTTTTGAAATATTTGAGTTGTTTAAGGGGACATACTTACCAGGAAGTATTTTTCTACTATTTCAAAATCAACGAATCCAATAATAATCCAGGCAAAAAGAGTAACCACAGAGACAACCACAATAAAAGGAACAAAATAGCCACTAAGCTTGTCCGCAAATTTCTGGATAGGAGCCTAGGAAGAAGAAACAGATGTCGGCTTTAGCAATATTATACTTATTCCTTTCCAGGCCTTTGGACACAGATACCATCACAGTTTCTGTTTTTCAGGACATTTGGCATACTGTACTTTATGATTATAATCAGGTATTTCTAGTAAGACACTGAGATTTGGAGCAGCGAAGCACAACAAAAATCCTCACTGAGCCAGATGCTTTGCTATGTAACTGCAATTCAATCTAAGCAACTGAGAAGCCCTTCCAGGTGTGTTGGTGCACTGAGGTCTACGTGGCAAGACAAACCCCAACTGCTTAAACGGAACCTACTCTACCTTTGATGTTTGGGCCTCCTCCACAAGCTTGACAATTTGGGATAGAGTTGTATCAGCTCCCACGTGGGTTGCCGAGATCAGCAGTGACCCATTCTGATTAATGGAACCTGCAATTACTGTATTGCCAGGCTTCTTAGTCACAGGCATCGCTTCACCTGAAAAAGATCAGCAACAGACACTGAAGAATGTTTCTGGCAACTTCTTTTTTTTCCCCTAATATTTGTCAACTCCAACACGCAATTCAAAGAGTAGGAGAATATCAAACAATTTCAACTTCTCTTCCTCAAATTCATTTAATTGCAAAAAACATTTTTCAACTTATAAAAAGTAAATGCTCACCTGTGATGAGGGATTCATCTACCATAGAGTGCCCTTCAATGACACGGCCATCCACAGGGAACTTGCCTCCTGGAGTCACTTTGACAACATCACCCCGCTGAACCAGTTCAACATCAACTTGCTCTTCACTAGAACGATGGAGAATCTTTTTACTAAGACACTATGAACTAAGTTTACCCAGGCAAAAAGCAGTTGTTGATATTACACAAAGCAGAAACATTAGTTCAGGCCGTTAAAGTATTCAAGTATACAGAAATTAATGGGGGAAAAAAAAGTTGTTTTTAGAGCACTAGTTTTTATCTGTTTTACTTTCTGAGAAAATTCATTATTTTTAATCACAGGAAGAGATAGTAAGGTGTCAATAAAATCTGAATAGTTATTTTGTTTTTAACACTGACAATTAGTAAGCTTGCAAGCAGCTTTGGAGCAATTTTGAAGTTTACTTCGCAACTCTATAGAATGGTAAAATAAATCTGAACTGAGCATATCAAAAAGAAACAACAGAAGAAACAAATGACGAAGTAAGATACCTTAAGAGAATGTTATCAGGGCCCAAGGTAACAATAGTTGCTTCGGTAGCTTGTAATGAAATAAGTCTTGCGAGTGCCTCTGATGTTTTACCCTAGAATAATAATTTTCATATTTTTCTAATGATCCTATTAAAAATTGTTTGTAAATGCCAGCTGTATATTTTATGATTTACTCTTTTAATAAATGCTTCCTGCAATCAGACTTAGTCATTTCATATTATTTGAGTTTTAATAGATATTTTAACAAAAATGATTAGAAAAAAATGATAAAAGTTCCTCGAATTATTTTAAGGTAAGCAACATTCTGAAGTGATACTCAAAGAGAAACTTGCAACTTGTAGATACGATGTTTTCCATCCAGTAAAGATGTCAAAACAACATGTGTTTCCTGAGAGGATTTGGTTTTACTGCACCTGTTGAACTGCTAAAAAAAACTTCAGCCCTTCATGATAACTTGGGCGACCTGTCTGAAACACCAATCACCCCACCATGCTCTTCCTCTCCTGCCCAACACACGAGTCCTTTTATTTTCCTTACCTTTGCAACATGCTCTAGCCACCGGCCCAAGGAGATGAACACAAAGAGCATGGGAGGTGTGTCAAAGAAAGTCACAGGGTTTACTTTGGCTTTCTCGGCCATCGCAACTAGAAGGATAACGAACGAGTAGACGAAGGCAATGGAAGTTGCCAAAACAATGAGCACGTCCATGTTTGCAGTTTTGTGCTTCACTGCTTTGTACGCTTGAATATAGAAGTGCCAGCCTCCAAACATCTGCAACAACAGCAGCACCAGTTCCATTTTACACGTGTGCTTGTAACGCATGGAGACGACACTTCCATAAGGTGCCAACACCCGTTCCTGGTGGTTGACATCTCCACCACTTCCTGATGAGAGTCCCAGCTCTCTCCTTGGCTACACTCCCCATCGCTGTGTCCCCCTCCACTCATCCCACCCTGCGCTGCCAGCTCCTTCCAGTGCCCAACCAGGAAAGCTGCCTCTGGCCATGCAGCGCCCACGCACTGACTGATCTGCTCCAACAACCTCAAATGCATTTTCTATCAGCATAATTAAAGTTTCGTGTCAAATTCCATTTCCTCATTGCCCGTCACTTTGAATGTCCAACCCCAACACACCAGAGGTTGTCATATGGCTGCTTACCTGTACAGGGACACAGAGCAAAAACGACAGAAAATTCATAACAGATAATCCTGGTAGGAGCTGACGTTCCAGGAACATGGAGGAATGAAGGGTTTCCATTTCCTCAGCGCTCATGTTGTGATGTGTGTGAGCATCTGCAAGCTGACTGTCCATAATCATCATGTAAATCATCAGCCCCATGACAGGGATACAGAAAAACAGACTCACAAGGAACGACCTCCTCCACCTGGGGGTTAAGGGTAAAAAAAAAAAAATTCTTTTTGCAGTCAAATGATGGATAACACTAACTAACAAACTCTACAACAGCTTTGCTGGTTTGCACAAAATTCATCATTGATTAAAAAGAAAAATATCAAGAAGGGGAATGTCTATATAGAATTTAAATATGTTCAGAAATACTTACTGTCTTATTTCCTGTTTGTGGTCTAAATGACTAGCAGATCTATCTTTTTTGACTAAGGATGTAGTGAAACCCAAATCCTAGGGAAAAAAAGCAGAGTAAGAAGAAACAGTCAATTTTCAAAGACACTTTGTACTCTTCTGTAGTTATGCACAGATTACTGGGGGATTATCCATGCATTTGCTTTATTTCATTAACTTTTCTAAGATGATTGCCTTTCTTGCTCTGCAAAAGATGAGCAAAAAGGGAGCTTTTCAATAAGCTTTTCCAGAACAACAAAATGCTATTCTAAAATGTGTTTCTTGAAATGGTTCTTCCAGAGGCACAGAGCTATACAGACTGATGGATAACACCAAGCAACTTATTGAGATGAGAGATGGACTTTTCTTTTGATAGTCTTCCCTTGTATAACTGGCTCAAATTCAGGGCTTTTCAGTTCTGGGATACGTAACTTCTAGAAGCACGATGAGACTTTTGTGTCCTCATGAAACTTACCTTTATCATTTGTATGATATCTCGAGGACCTACAAGTTCAGGATCATATTTAATGTGTGCTTTATTAGTTGCAAGAGCCACCGAGCAGTATAACACTCCATTAGTCTTCATGAGGGTGGATTCTATTTTATGCACACAAGAAGCACAAGTCATTCCTCTCACCTGTAAAATAAAGGTTTTCTCCTGTTATCAAACCCACAAATTACTCAGTGAGTACACTGATTAAGAGGAAAGAATGCTTTTGACTGTCCTGAGTTACTGACTCCCCATGGTAGACATTTTGGGAAGGGCACATTTATACAAGCATGTTCAGTAGATAAGTAGTAAAGAGAGCAGGGGCTGTTTTTAAATCAGCAGCTTACCACAAGTTCCAGAATTCCATCCCCTTCATCACAATTTTCCATAACTGTAGCTCCAAATCCCAGCTCCCGAATAAGCTCCGCAATAGTGGAGGGGTGTATGATAGCAGGATTATACCTCACTTCTGCCTTCCCTGCCATTAGGGCCACAAGTATTGAATGTATTCCTAGAAGACAAAATACGCAAGTATTTCTGCTCAGTCTAAGAAAAACACCATCTCTATGGTAAGAAATAAATTGTGCCATTGCATTGCAATTGAAAAACCTATCATATTGTGCACAGAAAGAGAAACTTAGACTTATTTGGGGAAGAAATACCAAAAACATCATAACAGTGCAGGTGAGAGAGACACCAGACTGAAGAAAAAGCACTTGGCATAACTGGACCAAGAGAATTTAAGTGTTTGTGTGAAGATAACAGAAACCAAAGTATTACTCCACAGAGGCAAAATGAGCTGCATGCTTTTAACTGTCTAATTGCAAACAAAATAGAGATTTTCTTAAAAGGAACTCTAAAGCACATAAACATATTGTTAATCCACATATAGCATTTCTAAAAAGCTTTCCTTCAAGAAAGAACTTGAATGAACATGTATGAGAAAGGGTAACCAAATGTGCAATCCTACCATATACATTAAGCAAAAGAGAAAGAATGAAAAGCTTTTAACAGGAAAGAAACTACCATTTCAGCTTAACTTTAGAATATATCCCTCCTCGTTACAGTAATTAAACACAGTCTATATTAACCACTCTTCATTACATCACAGCCATGCAACAATTTGTTTCTGCAAATATAACCATTATGCCAACAACAGATAGACATAATTGTCCTGACTTGTAGAGCTAATTTAACTTATATGTCTCAAATCCATGCTAACACTGCCCTTCTCTAACTGCTTTCTAACCCAGACAGAGACACTTCTGTCTTTAAGGCAGACCTGGACATGTCACTCATATAATAAAGGTTTACTTCAGTTTCAAGATGACCCGGACTCAGCATCTACCTTCTCTTCAAAAGTGTCCCAATTCCAGCTTTTGCAAGGGCAGTCTCCAGCCAGCAAGTCATCAAAGCAGCAAGAACCATGTTCCCTTTTCATGCTATGACCCAACTAGGAGCAGACTATGTTCAAATCACCCCGCAATGGCACTCCTCCTTTTGGCTAACCTACCATTTTAAAATACTGTACCAAAACTGGATGGCTTCTTTAAAAACAATGCTGAAAACTTTAACAGATCCTGCTGACATATATCTTACCATCTTCCCGTCTCAAATTCCTCTCAATGTTTGCTACACACGAAGCACATGTCATGCCTGTGACTTGGACATAGCACTTGGACACAGCCTTCGTCTCTCGTTCAGCAACATGGAGCGCAGACACTTTGGAAACAGCCTCTGCTTTGTGAGGTTCCAGCTTCACTTCAGGCAAAGGCCGAGTTCTGACCACGGGGAGTTCTGTCTTTGCTGGAGAAAAGATGACACTATAAGGAGCTGTTGCAATGAGCTACCAACTGGTATTATAAAAGACAGAAGTGCATGTTGGTGTAGCTTTTCAGACCAAAGCATGGTAATTGTACGTGCCCTGTCAAGCAGATTCATCCACATTTGTAGGTCGTCTTTTCTTTTGCTTACTCTTAATAAGGGTTAGGCCACTAATGAACCTTCTACCCAAGTGTACTGTTACTATTTTTAATTCTGCCCCTCCCCCCCACTGTATCTCTGTCATGTTGTACTACCCCTGTCCTGCAAGACATGAGGCTGCAGACTAAACCTTGGCACTGCAAACTTAGTTTCACACATACAGTTTTCTTGACTTTACCTGATGCAAACAGTATCAAATTCATGGCTTGCCAGCAAATTCAATGTTTGCAACTTTAGAAAAGGGCTCTTAAGCCAGACAGCTGCTTCTTACAGCAATTCAGGAGAAGCTATGTTTATGCAGGGGATGCATGAAAGGAATGCAATGAGATTTGACTTTAGTCAAAACAGGTGAGCTCATTCATTCCTTTAGTGATTGACCCAAAATAGCTCTCGTACTCTATTTTTCCAAAATTAATTGGACTCTCAAGGCTGCTTTGGGAAGCTTCACTTACAAGTGAAAATACAGAACAAAAAGATATTTGTTTGTATTTTCTTCCTAAGTCTACTTTTCTTCTGTTTAGTCAGGTATTTCCACTATGTTAATTCCTCATACTGTACCAGTCATCACGGCAAGCATTAGGCTTAAGTGATGCTCACACTCCTCAAATTGCTGCTGCTCTTTGTTCATGCCTGTGTCTGCTTAAACACCACTTTACCATTTACTCCACAAAAACAGTGTCTTTAATAAAAAAGAAGAAATTTTAGCAGAATAATCTGCAGTATTCTCAGCAAAGCTCTACCTATTACCCGTATTCATTCTGTGAATATCAGAAAACGGCAAAATATTTGCCAAGTGGAACACCATTTGAACATCAGTAGAGCAACATATTTATATTGCCAGGCATCTCAACCATCTTTAATGTAATGTATTACATTATGTAAAGTGACCACTGCACTGCTAGTGAAGATAAACTTCTCTTGGCTAGCATGAAGTTCTACACATGAACTTCAAAGTTTCATTAAACTTAAAAGGATGTCACTGTTTGATTTAAAGAGTTTATCAGTCGTTACCTGATAAAGATGCATCAAACCCCATATCCTCTATCGAGGATCGCAAGTCTTCTGGGCTTGTTTGTAGAGGGTCATATTCTATAGTCCCATTACGATTTGAGAGAGACACATGTATCGATTTGACACCTGCCTTTTGGGATATGACTCCTTCAATGGACTGCGCACAGGAGTTACAAGTCATTCCTTCAATGTTGATCACAACAACTTGAGTAAGGGGCTGGCTCGCATCCTTCACAGCACCCGGGAGCGATCTGGCTGGAGACGCCCCCGCGGCGAACAGCGCTACGTTTTCACACTCATCAGGAAGGCTGACTTTAAAAGTCTCTGGAGACACTGCCTCTATGGCCTTTCGCAGTACACCTACACTAACCAAGTTTGGGTTGTAGTTTACAATAGCAGATTTCTTCTCTAATGAAACAACTATATTTGTTACTGACGGGAGTGCTGATATAGTGCTCTGAATATTGAGGACACATGAATTGCAGTGCATGCCATCGATTCGGAAGACAACGGTCTTTGTATCATTCTCATTTTTGGAGTTTTCTCTCAGTGTTGCTTTGGAGTCTTTGGTTTGAGCGTTCTTCAAACTTTCCACGTTAAGAGCAGTGAGCTTGAGAGGTCTGGGCTGCTTTTTGAAAGATGCTGTGAAACCCACTGCTTCAATTTGGTGTTTTATTTCTTCTGCTGTAATGACATGAGGCTGATACACGATAACAGCTTCCTGATTGTCCAGAGACACTAAGGAGGAAACAATAAAAGTAAGTGCGCATTATTGCCCAGCACCCTAAGAACAATGCATCTTGTCAAAACTTTCCAAGAATGCTTTAGACGTTCAGAAAATTAACTCCAGCCCTCCAAAAGAAGTTTAAGTAGTTTTACAAATCGCAACAATATAGGATTTTTTTTTTGTCTAGAGCTACAACAATTTTCAATCCCTTTACCACAATTTTCAATCCCACCACCAAGTCTTTCACTAAATTTAATTTTTTCTTTTTTTCCCAAAGGTCTGTGGCATTATGTTCGTTAAAGTTATTTGTACAGGCAATTTTATCCAGACCTTTTAGACAAAAGGAAATATATGTCAATATTAACAGTTTTTAACTGAACAGAAAATATTAGTATTTAGCACAGTCCAGAGGAAAGACATCTGGTGACACAGAGCTGTCCGGGGACAGCAGAGTCAACTCTAAGTGATGTGACAATAAGCTGAGTCCTACCTTTAATGCGCTGGATTCCTTGCACCTTGCCGACCTTGCCCTCGATGGTGCTGGTGCACGAGTGGCAGGTCATGCCCTCCACCCTGAGGCGCAGCACCGCGCTGCTCGCGGCAGCGTCGCCCGTGCCAGGAGCCACCTCCGGTGCCGAAATTCCTAAATCTACCCCTGGGACCATTTGGATAATCTGCTTACTATTTATCACGGAGGAAATGAAAGTCACCACGGCAGTTTTTTGGTCAGAGGACACTTTGACATCCACAACACCTTTGTTTGTCAGGAGTGTACTACGGATCTGTTTAGATGTTAGGGGCGACTCAGGAGGAATAGTAAGAAAAATTGTGTCAAGTAAAACAGGTTGAGGGGTTGAATTGGCTAATGTAGCATCAAATCCCATGTCATTTATTGCCTCCTGGAGAGTTCCTGGAGTTTGTAGTTTGGAGTCATAAATAATGGCTGCGTTCTTTTCCTCTAGAGATATCTTGAAAGATTAAAAAGAAAAAAAAATCAGAAAGTTTAGTTAGCAAACTCAGCATTAAGAGATGGGAACCTGATAAAAGATCCCTTTTTCTGTGCAACAACATGGCTAGACAGAGGAGACTGTAAAGGATTCTGAAACCGTTTCTAAAAACAAGTGGTCCTGCCACTTACTTTCGACATCCTGACAGCAGCTAATGAAATTCACAGCAAATAATGAAACTTCCAAAGCTGAACACTCCTAAATTGGCTTAGTCAGTGTAATTCAATTTCAAAAGGGAAACAACCCACAAGGAAGGAAGAAAATAAAACAAAAAACACGAATCCTTTGTACAGTTTGACCATCATTATTAGCTTTCTTGGGCTACCAGAATGGAGGAAAAAGTTCTCTGAAAAATCCCCCAGGTTGGATCGCTAATGACACAAGTCCAACCGTTCCAGAGACCTCAGGGTCTGGGGAGGTGGGGGAGAAGAGCTCACATGGCAGTAAACCGAGGCGCTCTTGGTGCGGAACGGACAGAGCAGAAGGCTACAGCGTGCTGCAGCAGCAAGGACAATATCACAGGCTGCTGTCCTGCTACGAGGAATAAAGCGCATGAAAACGCACAAAATAAAAATCACTTCTAAAATTAGATACATGACAAACATTAAAAAAGTTATTTCTCTCTGTACATTTTGGTGATCCACAGCATTCCTGATTCGACACTAACCTTTCACATCAGATGGAAAATAAATTGAGGATATTTGTACCAACTGATGATATAATTAAACATAATTATTGCAATTTCCAAAAGGGAGAATCAATGCCTGCCAGAGGGCCAACACATTATCATTCAATTTTATCTTTCCCGTGAGCAAAGATACAATCCAGAAACCACAGTCATGATTCAATTACATCAGCTAAATAATTTTAAGAACCACCTTTCTTCCCTTTAGTGCCAATTAGGTGCCCTTGCAGAATCAGTAACACAGACATTTATTGGTTTCATTGCAGTTGGAGGCAAATAACCTACATGCAGCTCTGTGTCTGCATTAGCCAGCCAAAGCTTGCCTCCGAGTCATCTAATTCAAATAAATAAATAAATAAATAAATCACCAAACAAAAACTTGTTTTAATATCCTCAAAGATGATTCCTGAAAACAAATCGTTTGGTTAAATTGAAGCTCTAATGGTATAATGATGATTACCACATATGATCTCTTGAAGCTTATTATACTCCTGTTTTATTTAGGCTGTTTTTGTAGTATATTTGCTTGCCAAAAGCAGTTCTACAAATATTATTCAGCTTTGAAATAAAGTACTTACTCTAAAACCTGTATGCAAGATACTTGGCACTTCCCACAGACAAACAAAGAAAACCTCATCCTGTCGCATGAGACTGACACATGTCAGGAACACAAATGCTATTGAGTGTGCAAGTAACATCCGTGCTGTCAGTCTGAAAGAAAAGGCTTGGGGGGCTGTACGAGGCCAAAATTCTGACATTTATTGAGTTTAATTCATGAGGACCAATTGCTTTCTTCATTGGTGTAAATCTTAGGAGTTCTGCTTCTCCCCCCTTCTTTTTTTAACCTTTTCCCCTCTCCCCTCTCATAATTAATTCAGTATTGTGAAATAATAAACCAAAAATAATCCAAGAAGAATAACTACAATAACCTAGCTCCCACTTCAGTAAAAGAAACATTTGTGGGGTTTTTTTCCTGCTTATAAGCATTAGAAAGACACCAACGTACCTCTAACATCAGTGTTCCGGGAAGATACGGAATATATTCCTTCCATTTATTTCCCTCCCTTGGCTTCTCGCATATGAGCAATGCTTGGTAAGAAATGGCCATGTCACTTACTTGGATGCTGTGGACACCACTGATTTTCCCGACGTGTTGTTCGATGGTCTCGACGCAGGAATTGCATGTCATTCCCTCCACAATGAGGGCAACCGATCTGGCCTCCATTGTCAAATCCTACTCAGGTCTTCACATCACTGAGGGGCAAAAAAAGAATTCATTAAGACTTTCCCCTTTAGATATAGGCATCAAAAATCTGATCAAGGCCTCACATTGGGCAAAGGTAAGATGGGAGAGGACTTCAGCTACTTACTTCTAGCTATTTTCATAGAAAAAAATATTCAGACATTTATAATTTGTGCTTAACACAAGCAAGATAATTTAATTGCACATAGCAAGCCCACTGGTGACTGGTGAGCATGACCTCAAGCTACAGGGAGAAAAGAGCAAAGAAGTAAGACAACCCCATTGTGGGACTGCTCATGATACAGGATGACACAAAGTACAGGAACCTAAAAGGTGATTGTGTTTTTTCCACATTTGTATCTCTTATTTATTATCCTTATGTATTACGGAGCGATAGTGACATTAATCCTAAGAAATATATCAAGCTTCTTCTGTACCCCATTCAGAAAATTCTAACTTCTGTTCTGCTAAAGACTGGCACATTTACTGCTGCTTGTAAAAGCAAACCTAGGAAAAATTGCTGAACCTAAAGTGAAATTAATTTGCAGAAAGAATGGCTAATCCAAAGGTTTGGTGGGGAGAAGGCAGAAAGGGGGATACAAAACTTAAATTGTTAGATAATAGAAGGACTAAAAATGTAAAAGAAGAAACATCCAGGTGTTTTTTCAGTCTTCAAAAATTTGTATTCCTTTTCCAAAGGATGAGAAGTTACTGAACAGGGAAGAAGAAAAAAAAGTCACAGTAACCTATCTAATGTTTGACTGCAGAGAAAGCAGCAAAAAATACAGATGACCAAGTGAGCAATTAAATTTAAGCATGCGCTTAACTGGTTTGTTACCCTGGGGATTTATTTAGAGAAAATTAAATTATAGTAAGCATTAGCAATGTTTAATAATATCAGTTTGCTCTTCTCAGTCAGATTTCAGAACTGCTTCCAGTTACAGATGTACTGAAAGTTTCATTTCTCTGCACTGAAACATGCTAGAAAACCACAGAAGTTTGTGAATACTGGAGTTACATTCCATCTTCAGGTTTACCTCACTTATAAAAAATTATAAAAATTATAAACATTAAACTTATAAGAATTAAACACTGATGCTTAAAAAGAAGTAAGGGCAGTAAAACCCTTTGACTTACAGTGAAAACCTCACCAAAAACCGACGCTAAGTGAGCTGCTGTAGCCACGACCGTGGCACAACCAGAGCCACTAGCTAAAACCAGCGAGGATACAGCTTTGAAACTGCCTTTTCTGCAGGCCACGCACCAAGCCAACAGCAGCACCATGTGTATTACGGTACATCAGCATCACAACGTTGTAATAGCCAGCAACACGGCTGCTGAATGTCTACCTGCCCATCGAAAAAGCAGACGTGATGATATATGTATAAATAACAGTGTAAACACTCTGTTTCTCCCCCATCTGATGTTATTACAGCTTGATGTCACAGTGAAAAACATTTCCTCCACTATTCAACTTGTTTCTTTGCCTGCTTGCTGCTCATTTTACATATGATCAGTTCCTTCTTTTTTTAAAAAATATCACTTCAAGTTTTCCCACTGAAAAGGAAAGAGAAAAGCACTCAGAGCTATTCCTTTTTAGTGGCCTAACAAAACTACATAAGGTTTGTAAAGTGACTTCAGTTACGATGGATGGTATTTGCAGAAGTGGAAGAAAGAATAATTTAATAGCCATAATTGAGAATCCCTTAAGTCACGTTAAAATCTCATTATTTCATGCTTGATAGCAGATGCTATTTCAAGTGCATCTGACCTTTAAAGAATACACCATCAAGGATTTGTTTGATGTAAATAATAAATCAAAAGCAAGCAAGCATCAATTGTTCCACTGCCAAAACCAAGGGGGTTTTGTTTGTTTAGGTAATTCAAAGACTGTTCTCTCAGGACTGACTGATGAGGATCCTGTGGCTTTGGGCCCTGAGAACACAGTAAAGAAAATCCTTTCCTGGAAGGGCTTGCAAATCAGCAAAACAAAGAGGCATAAGAGAAAAAGAAATTGTGTATGTGTGTGTATATTTTCCCCCGCCTTGCAAAGTCTCAAAGCACCATAACTGACTTCTGAACTTCTGTCTCAGAACTTCTGTGGAAGAAAACTCTCTTCTTTTTGTTCTTGAGCTTTTCATTGGGGAAAAAAAATATTGGACATAGAAGATTTATTCATCATTATCATCCTCTACAGGAAAGAGGCAACCCAGCAAAACAAGGATTTCATTTGCAGTTTCACAAGTTAAAATTTTGTATTACACTTCAAAGTTTTTTTTAAAAGAGGTGCACCATTTGTAAGCAGCACTGACTCTTCAAGGCAGCTACATCATGTTATTGACATTGAACAGTTACATTCATAATCTATTTAAGTTTTCCTGTAAACTTTTGAGCAGGCTTGCTGAGATTTCTGAATGCAAGTTTTCTGCATTTCCTGTGTTCTTGGTACTTTGAGATCTTATTTTCTGAGAGTACAAGGTTAATGTATAGTGAGAATAATAATAGACGTACCCTTTCCAATCCACTCAATTACCAGAATAGTGATTCAGGTTTAACTTAAAAGCTTATATCTGTAATAGCATTCCACTGTTCTATATTGTGGGTTGTTTGTAATATTCTACCTATAATAAAAAAAATACTGTCCTGTAGAAATATCCTGCCTGAAACTACAAGACAAATATTTTTGTTCAAGATATCCCCCAACATCATTAACAACAAAAGAAATCACCAGTGAAGTCTGAGAAAACACTTGTTATACCAATAAATTATCACTAGACACACAAAAGTGATGTACAGTATTGACAATATAACCCCAGTTCTCCTATATGTGTTAATATTTTACCAAGTTTACAAGAAGGAGGCCCAGATGCAGAAGTCAAATGATCCACCCGAGGCTGTGCAGCAGTCTGGGAATGCTGGAGCAATGGTCTGAACTTAGAACTTCCTGTTCCTGTGCTCCTGCCACCCATAACAAATTACATATATACATATACACACACACATACCTAGTGACAGGCATTAGCTCTGAAGGTGACCTCGCAGTTAAGGCTCTGGCAGGATACAGCTGAAACAATAAATAAACAAAAGTCTTCTGTAACATCTGAAAAACTCTCCAGAGAAATAGATTTTATATGCAAACTCTGCAGATCCTTATCATCAACAATAAAAAGACTGCTAATAAATAATATACAGTTCAAAGTTATTTAAAATAATTTGCTAACTAAATTATAGATCATGCATTGCTTCAGAGAATAATAATAATTTTCAAAATCAAAATATAGCTCCATATACAAAACCTCACTGCTACTTGTCCATTTCACCATAACCAGAATTTTGAAGACAGAAATGGCTGGATGTTTTGCAGAAGTGGGTAGATCATCAGTACGTAAACAACTTCAGGACTTGTGGAGCTATTCCCCCATCCTATTTAACAGCTCTGTATTTAGAGCACAAGAAGCCAAAAAGCTTAGGGCTATTACTGTTATCTTGCAGTAACATTAGAGCAGCTTCATGTCAGGGAGAACAGTGACTATGAGCAAACTCCAGAAGAGCACATTAGCTCCTCTTTGTCTTCTCTAGAAACTCCCATTTCATTTCTTACCCTGCCATTATCCTTTCACCTGTGTTTTGCAGAACACAAACCAGCAACACTTCCTTCTTTGTACATTGACACCATCAACGGAAGCAGCAGAGCCCTCCAAAGGATCAGCCTCTGCAGTAGCAGAGATAGTGTCTGGAGCAGCAGCACTGAGCGAGCAGCGATGACGCATACGAGCGCATTACAAGAGAATCAAAATCCAGAGTTCATTTCTAAATAGACTAAATCTTCATACGGTCTTGCAAGCACAGTTTGAGGCTTAATGCTTGGGCTGTGTACAAGTCAAAATTCAATATGTTACCTGCTTTAGAAAGTCAGGGCTTCTAAACGAATGAGATAGCACAAAGAATTTCTACTTTCAACAATAATTTCTACATGAGGAAAAAGTAAACAGTCGTCAAGGACAGCATGACAGAGAAACCCAGATTCACATCTCTAAACCAGTTTTTTGGGTGTGCTAACAACAGTCTCTGCAAGTAAAAACATGTGAAGCAAGATAACTAAGGTTTGATGAAGTCAAAATTAAGTCACTCAATCTCAAACCATGAGAAGAAATGGGTCATGTGAAATGGAAGCTATGGCACTTGTACAACCATCGATTTCTGTGTTATTCCAGAGGGAAAAAAAAAAAAAAAGATGTTTTAGTGCTTCTAGTGCCTGCACTAATCCAAGCACCTCTGCATGACAAACATACACCATAAAACTGCCCAGCATCTGTTCGGGGATCACTAAGAATACGTAACAGACACAAACATCGTGTGCTTCTCAAAGCGGGGACTTACCAGTTTTCAATGAAGATTTCTATACATAGTATCTTGAAACTGCAAACTAGCAAGCCTAGCCAAAACCACACAGATCCAGATTCAACTCCAGTCTTTATATCTGCAGACTTGATTAAATTTCTAAATGGCAGAGTCCTGCTTCATAACTTTATTTACTTAATGGCAGCAGAAAGACAAGTCACTAATTATATTAAGCGGAAAAATGGTACCTGTCCTTAAAAGCATGCAGAGACACATGAAAAAAATCAAAGGGCAGCGTAAAAAGACAAAGGTGGATTATCTCACTGATGGCTTGGAGCACTACTGAAGAAGGGGTTACAGGAGATCTGGCCTGATATAGGAAAACAGGATTTCATTATCTTCAACTACGAAAAAAAAAAAAAGTATTTGAAAAATATGACCAGGCAAAGGAGGCCTAATCTTGGGGGGAAACTGCAGGCCTGTATCAGATGGACAGCGCCACGAGGCTGGGCCGCAACTCACGTTGCTCAAGAGTTTAAGGAGTCCTGCTTGGTCAGCAGCTTATAGAAACTGCTTGGAGGGATTTCAGTTCTGGTAAAGCTGGATGAGGAGAGAGAGAGGGAAAAAAAAAAAAAAAAGTACAGACTGAAAACATTCTGCTTCGGTCCTAGCAAGTGCCGGATAATACTTGGAAAAAAAATCCTATCAAATCCTCAATCCTATCCTTAGGGCAACTCTTTGGAGAACATGCACCCCGCAAACAATTGCGGCAAGCATTGGGAATGGCGTGTAATTTAGACGCCTCTCTGTCATCCGAGTGCACTGAGGTCCTTGGGGCTCCCCACTCTGCAGCTTAGGCTCAAAACACAGGGCAGGACAACTCCTGGCACATTCTCCATAGGACACGAGAATAAAACCTGTAAACGACACCTTACGCTAACCCAGGCTTCCCCACCTGGCAAGGGGGAAGAAAGGTTCATTTCTT